TGCCGGCACGCCGGGTGGGGGCGGCGCGGCTCGGGCGACCCCAGGCTGGCCTGCGTCCCAGAGCCTCCCTGACCACACACCCAAGGGCAGCAGCGCAGTGGACGCGGCCCTCCGCCACACCCACCCGTGTGCAGGTCGCTTGGAGGCCGCGTCACGGCCGAGATGCCTGCGGCCAGGGTGGCCCTTGGCAGGGTCAGTCACTGCCCTTTCGTGGCCCTAGCGCGACCATCCAGCGGCCGGTGGCGGGCAGGTCTCCCTAGATGCGGGCTGCCCCTCAGCAGACCACACCTCAGCAGACCGCGCCCAAGGGCCCACCTTTGTACCAGCTCACGACAGGGGCAGGGGTGCCCGTCACACGGCAGGCCAGCTTGACCGTCTCGCCCAGGGTGGCGGTGCAGTCGGCCAGCTCCTCCTCGAAGTCCGGGGGCCCTGGTGGGGCACGCGTGGGTCCTGAGGGCAGCGCTGCCACGTCCAGCAGCAGACACCAACCCTGGGGGCCCCTGTCAGGGTGCTGGCCCCGGCCAACGGGAGTGGGGGAGGGGTGGTGGGCCGTCGTGGGGGGAGTCTGGCGGACTCCCGGTGGGAGACCTGGTGCTCAACGGGAGGTGGGGGTGCTTGATGGACACTGGTGCATTGGGGTGGACGTAGAAAGTGAGTGAACACCAGAACTGGAGAGCTGAGCGGACACATGGGGATCGGAGATGACTGAAGGTGGATACAATCAAGTCAGGGCGCCCACCAGAGGCTGCCAGCTTCCACAGCCTTGGGCACGGTGGGCGCCTGCCTTCCGTGGGGCCCCTGCTCCGAGGTCCTGGGCCCCCCCAGGAGGCTGACCTGGAGGAGGGGAGCCGGCCCCCCCAGGGTGCCCACCCGTGCGGACTGGCCCTGGCGGCCAGAGCCAGACAGCTGGGCTGCAGGCCCGGCCCCTCTGCACTCACGCCAGGCAGGCAGGGCCAGGCGCTGCTGCAGGCTGCGGATCTCCCTGACCCAGGCGTGCCTGGTGGTGGCCGTGCGCGCCTGCAGCAGGAACTTGCGCACGGAGCCCTCCCGCTCATGCCACACCTCGAAGGCGCGCTCGTCCCCCTCCACCTGGTCGTTGAGGTCGACGCCGCTCAGCTAGGGGGCAGGACAGTTGGGGTGACCAACGGGCGGGCGCCCCCGGGCCCCGCCCCCGCAGCCCCGGCCACCCGCAGACCTTCATCATGTTCCGGAAGACGTAGCTGAAGGTGTCGGTGCGGGAGTCCCGCTTGGGCTTGCAGATGACCAGGTGGTGCGGGAACAGGAAGACGTGCCGGTGGTGGCCCTTCCAGGGCATCCGCGCGCCAGGCGCGCCCTCCCACACGATGAAGTGGCCCTGGGGGGCGGTCAGCCTGCGGTCAGCGAGCGGCTGGGGCGCTGCCCGGACCCCTCCCGCCAGCCCTGCCCCCACCTGGCGAATGGGCTCGCCCAGGGCCTCCAGGGTGCCCGGGTAGTTCTCCACGAGCGACACGTGCAGCCGGTCCTCCGCGCGCCGCGGCAGCGCCGACACCACGGCGTAGGCCTGCTCCAACAGCGCGCACGTCTGCCCGCTGCG